TCAACGAAAAGGAAAGGCTCCCGGAGTGATTGTTCGATTATTTGAGGCAAGTGGATTTCTAAACCCTTGTTAAGTGTATGTAATTCGTGTATTTCCTTGTGATATGTGTTTGGGGGTAATGAGGCTTGGTGATGGGTTGACTTGTACATATTGATTATTTTCTAATGATAAAAAAGGGATAATAAAAGGCAATGTGATCAATTGTTTGTGTGATATGTTGAGAATTGTTTGAAAGACTTGTTGAATCATTGTTGATGTTGTATCATGATTGTGTTGTTGTGAATTGTGCAATTTTATGAAAATGGTCATCTCCTTATTATTTGTGTGAACATGTCATTTTCATTGTTCTGAGACATGGTTGTGACAAGTGCTATGTGCATTGAGAAAAAATAAGAAATTAAAGAGGACGTATCGGGCGCTGCGATGGATACTATATTTCGAGGGACGTATCGGGCGCCGCGATGGTTACTATTATCGAGGGTCGTATCGCGCGCCGCGATGGATGCATGGACAGATATATCCCTCATGGGTCCCGGACTGAGAGACAGCGGGTGTGTATCACTAGGTCAGACATGCATCACTATACTTGACATTGCATTCCATTGCATTGCACATATTTATCATTAGTGAACTTGATATTGTGTTTTGCTAATCTTGTGAGTGCCTCTTTGTGGAACTTTGTGAGTTCGTTTCTGTGGAATTTGATTGATGATGAATATTGAGGATATGCAATTGTTTGAGTGTTGTGGTTGAGCTGTGTGCTATGTGAATTATGAGCTGTTAGGTTGGACTGATTTTAAGCAGGTTGTAGTTGTAGAGGTTGTAATTAATGAATATTGAGCTTGTTGTTGAGAATCTGTGATTGTTAGAATGTTGTTGTCGAGATATGTGCTTGTAAATTGTGAACTGTTAGGTTGGGCTGGTTTTATGCAGGTTGTAGTTGTGGAGGTTCGGTTGAGGTGTAAGGAGTACCCGTATTCTATCCCCTTAGCTTGTGTTTAAAGGTTTACTTGTTGAGTACCGTGTGGTTTGGTACTCACCCCTTGCTACTACATTTTTTTTGTAGGTTATTAGCCCGAACCTTTGTGGTATTTTCTCTTCTCCTTGTCTAAGGCTTCTTGTGGAGGTTTGTGAGGTAGTTGCTTGTCATTTCAACGGACCTTCTTTCTCCTTAATTATGATCTTGTTCTATTCTAGAAACAGGGTCATTTGAGACTTGTGTTTTTCTTTTGAATAAATTATAATACTTTAGAGGCTTGTACACGTGATAACTAGATTTTTAGGGTATTTTTGAGTTGATTATAAAATTTTCGCATTTTATTGTAATGGTTGAGTTTTGGGCTAACTTGTCTAGGTGGGATAAGACGAGTGTCATTACGTCTATTTTTGGGTCGTGACATGATCAACTAATATGAAATAGAAAAAGTATATATAGTGGCAAAATCAGGATTTTTAACAGGGAGTTCAAATATGAAGAAGTTGAAAGGAGTTCGATAGTAGTATATATAGTGTAATTTTTCAACGAAGGGGATTTAATTGAATCCGACCTCTTCATGACTTATTGTCATTCAAAATGTCTTCTTCTATTGCAACACAAAGTTCACTAACCACATGTTTTATTTTGAAAGATATATACAAGGAAAATGACTGAGTTCTCGAAAAATCGATTAAACTTATAGTTTAAGAGAAATCGAATTTTCAAAAGAACAGAATCGCCACTTAATTTTTTAATAAAAATCAAGAAAAAATACTTGCGGTTTTCAAAAGATTTAAACAGATAAAATCAATTGAAAACGGGTTCGAAGTTCAATATACATTCCGAAAAGGTGTTAGGCCCTCGGAATGCCCGCTAACTTGCGGTTGACCAGCGATTTGACCAAAATGATTTTGACTAATTTTAAAATTTTAACTTAAGTAAAAGAATTCATTTATTTTAACTAATTTCTTTTTTAAAAATTTAACATATAAAGAACTCATGACTTTGACTAATTTTGAAAGTTTAACGAAGTAAAAGAACTCAATTATTTTAACCAATCTTTTGAAATTTTTTAACTAAATAAAAGAACTCATTTATTTTAACTTATTTTGGAAATTTTAACTAAGTAAAAACTCATTTATTTTAACCTACTTATTTATTACTATTATTATTTTTTATCATTTTATTTATCTAAAGGGCAATGAACTAGAGGGGAATTTTCTAAAGGGAAAAAATTTAAGTGTTGAAAAGACTAATATTAAAATAAGAACTAAGTAATAAAATATATATACTTTAATTCGAAAATAACATGAAATGACCATTCTTGAGGAATTTAATTAGGTTAAATCATAAGATAATCAAGGCGTTAGTCAAATATAATAAAATAATAAAGGAGGGAAAGGAAGAGCATGTCAAATTTGGGACCATTGCTGCGTTTTGGGCCTCCTTCAGCCCATTTTCGCTCCCAAAACCACTGTGTATACAGCAAAGGTATATCGATGTATATAGGCGTATTTCGATCCATTTTTTGTGTATATAGGACTGTAGGTCGAACGTGGACAGCCCACTTCAAATTTTCAGCACCTGTATCGTCATTTCAGACCTGTATATCGCATGTTTCTGACTGTATATCGATGTATACAATAGGTATATCAGTCCATTTTCAGCTTTTAGGAATCTGGAAATTTAATCTCCAGCCCTGTATTTCAGCTCCGGGAACCTGTACACCAATATCGCCGATCCGGTTGACTCAATAAAGATTGTTAGGCCTCCATGGCCCAACGAGAAAAATGCAAGGGAGGGAAAGAAGTCCATGAGGACTCGGAGAGGTTCATACAACAAAACGAGAGAGACAAAATTAGAATTTGATTAACTAACAAACGAGGCATAACTCGATTGAAATGAGAGCTATTCAGGAAAATCCAAAATGAAAAAAAAACTAAGAGTCAAGCAGCCCCCAAACTAATCGGCCAACATGACATATTACTTTTAAAGAGGACAAAATGAACTAAATTAACAAAGCTAGACCATGAGACTAAACAATAACACATGTATACATTTATGAATATATTATATTACACGGAGTACCTAGCCATTAACATACAATAATTCAAAAATGTTGGGAGGAAGACACATTGCATAATCCACAAGTAATGCATCTCATACCATAATCAAAATTAACTCTACCAATGGAACCTAATATTGATAGTTTATCACGATAAGAATAAACATATATACATTGGAGGCAGTAGCATACCAAACCATTACATGCAAAGAAAAGAAAAGAGACAAGAAATGATTGAATTTTTTATTATTATATTTATTTTTTAATAAAAGGAGAAATTTGTGACTCAAATTTATCATGCTGGTCATTAACACAAACCAACATGAAATGAACACAATATTCAGAGAGAACAGCACGGTTGAGCAGTAACACCAAACCCAGGACTACATTAAACGATATGTTATTTTTAGAGCAGATATTTTCTGACTAAACAAGGATGGGAGGATGGCTTGTTGAAAAATCAAAGTAACATCGGCTAAATGACAATAAACAATAGACTAAGAGTGAACATGATATCACGAGTTAAATCGAAGATAAATCACTATCCACGAGATATATAATCGAGGGGAAGAACAGAGGCAAGTCATCCAGATAGCAACTAATTTCGTATTGTGTTAACTCAAAGTAAAAAAAAAACAGTGGAGGTACCAAGTGACAAATTTCATGTTGTCCGGATTTTAACCAAAATGTTAAACTATGAAGAGCAGAGCCAACCAAATTACTATACGAGTAAAAAAATGAATCAACCGACACCATAGCATACTAAGTAAAAAAAAACTTCACTAACATTCGACTCCCCTCCATTCGCTGTCACTGTTGGAAGGAAGCAAAACTACAGAAAATTACGCTAACACGAAGAGCTGAATGCAACTAAAACAGAACTCACAGCCAGCATTAAGCATTTGACACACAAGAACCTCATCTCAAAGACGGAAGAGAGACAAAAATATCATAAAAGAGAAAGCGTTTTACCTTTTCGAGGGCAGAGAGCTGAGACGGGACAACAGCGAGAGGATGAACTTCTTCCACCACACAAATCTAAATCTCGAGAAGCTGACCACAAGATGCAACCCAGACCCAAACAAAGACTCTATCACGACTTAGGATCTAGAGGTGTATGATTTCTTGAGTATCAGAGTCTTTTCTCTCAATCTTTTCCCCTCTATTTTCTAACAAACGTTCTAAAAAAAATTTAAAACCCACCAAAAAAAATCCCCTTAAACTGAAACGAAAAAAGGAATATATAGAAGGAGATAGGGTTCGATTTTTGGGGGGGGAAAACGGATCCAAATCCGGACAAAAAGAACCCAAATTCAAACTCAAACTTCAAAATTTCTTTCACCAAATTAGGCGAACACCTTTTTCTTGCAATTGGGAAGAAGAAAATTGGGCCTAGGAATAAAGGGTGAGGATTGGGCCTGCTGAAAATAGGTAAGAAAAAGCCCAAATTTTGGTCTTTTGATGGGTTTAAAGTGAGGTAGAAGAGCTGGCTATGTTTGTAATAGGAATAAGACCATGTGGATTAAAGATGTAACCAAATTGAATTGATATGAACGAAATTGGTTAACCATTAAATAGAATGAATTAATATTAACCAATTAACAAGCTTCTTAATCTCAACGAAATAAAATAATTAACTTAATTATAAACTAACTATTTCAAAAATATAAACTATTATATAACTAAACTAGTCAACCAAATATTTAAGTAAAACTAAATATTTTTGGGACGATTTTCGAATGATCATAAAATATACTAATTACATACATAATTATGTAAAACAAATATATTATCTAAAAATTATAAAAGTGACAAAACTAGTTAAAATAACCTGCAAACGATATATATATATATATATATATTTAATTTTATGAAACTAATTATTTTAAATCATTTGAAGATTATGGAGCTCAAAAATTAATTACTATCGGGGAGGGTCAAAATTGGGTGTCAACACCACAAAACTCAATACAACTTTTGGTTTGTACAAACTTAGCATACTTGATAAGATATGTTTGTATGATGGAGAAAATTACACATCAATCTTGATGATTTACATGAGAGTTATTTGTTGGTACTAAGTTACACGACGAAAGTATTTTCCATCGTATCAAACACACTCGATAAGTTTATTCACGAGCAACGAGCACCACCTGTTTTCCAACATTTCGACCAGAGAAGAGGCCGACTAGAGCACCTGGTGCACTTTCAATTCCTTCAGCTATGTCCTCCACATATTTCACCTTCCCTTCTTTTATGTGTGGAGTAACCATTTCTACAAATTTTTTGTAAAGGGGAAAGTAGTCAACAGCCAAAAATCCTTGCATACGGAGTCGTTTTGAGATGAGGCAGAACAAGTTGTGAACTCCTTCATTTTGCTCGAGGTTGTATTGTGAGATCATCCCACATACAGCGATTCGTCCATGGATTCTCATGTTGAGAAGAACTGCGTCAAGCATCTTTCCTCCAACGTTCTCAAAGTAGATATCGATTCCATCAGGGAAGTACCTGGTTGTATTCAGGAATGATATAATTAAGTAACTAAAAAGTGTGTTCTCTGTAGCAGCTTAAGAGATGGTCATACACTTCAACAAACTAAATCAACATTTGGTGAGAAATATATGTTATTAGAAAAATCAATAACACCAAAAGAACTTAAATACCATGAAAACATCGGCTTTTACCTTTTCAAAGCTGCTGATAAATCTTGTTCCTCTTTATAGTTAAATGCTTCATCAAAACCAAATTTGTTCTTCAACAGTTCAACCTAACAACAAGAAAAACAACGAAAACATTGAGATCGGATCAGAAGTACTAGTCCCTGCCTAAATTTACATGATTTTGTTCGCGTAATATTATCCAACAGTAGTACCAACAGACTTCAAGCAATATCACATACTTTTGTGACTTGTGAAAGATCAAACTGTCTAATAAATGAATAAATATTTCTCATTTCTAATACACGCAATACCTTATATTGTTCAATTAGTCACAAGTTGCTAGAAGAGTATCTTTAAGAACCAACTCAGTTTCTAGCTGTCCTGACAGTAAGACGTTATTCATCTTGTTGAAGTGTGTAACCATCTCATGTAAGAGCTTCATATATTAGAGAGATCACACTTTTAATTTCTTAACCATACGGTGTCTTATTAACGTCTTCCCAACAAATGAACCTGATTCTTTTCTTCTTAAGCCAAACACATGGATATATTTTTTTTGCTTTTTCTTTGAGTGCATAGGACTTTTGTTTGGTCTGACATCATGTTGAATTGTGTGACAATATCGTACATTACATTAAAATTCAGGATGGTATCGGATCTCAAACCTCCTACTTCGTGGACGATGTTCTTGAAAATAGACTACAAGTCATGCATTTACTAAGCAAGCAATGGAAAAGGATCTTCCAGCCTCATGATTCCCCTGTTTAGAGGAATGATGGGGCAACGAAAGTCGGTTTGACATTAGCTAAACCGAATATCATCAAGATCCGAACATGCTTTGAAATCAATAACATTGAGAAGATCAACCATTTTGGTGAAGAGCGTTTCACGAAGAAAGCTTACCTTTTCTTCGCTTCCAGCACTTCCAACAACATAGCAACCTACAAGTTTAGCGAATTGTCCAACGAGCTGGCCAACAGCTCCAGACGCAGCAGAGACATACACAGTTTCTCCTTTCTTTGGAGAGCATAGCTCATAAAAACCTCCATAAGCAGTTATCCCAGGCATCCCTAAGAATACAATTACATTAGTTATTTTTCTATTGTTTTAACGCTAACCATTTTATAATTCTCCATTTGATGTGTGAAAAATAATCAGCAAGGGATCTTAGAGAACTGTTTTCAACACAAAAAGTGCAAATTTGGGATAAACGTAGACCTTAATACGCCTTCTGTTTCCACAATGAGAAGAAAAAATAAAAAGTTTTCAAACTTAGAAACACAAACATACATTGGACTGTTTTTGTGTAATGCATTTTAAAAAGGAAAAGGATCAGTTCCAGCAAAGGTTGAAGCGATTTGGTTTATTCGAGATATAAGCATTGAAGTATATGATCATCTAACACCCTTCCCCCACAAGTCCAGAACAGGACATCTCGTGCGTGAACAATATAACATGGATGTCCAAAAACGGACAAACATTCTCAAAATTATGTTTCAGAACTCCAAGACTTTACGATATGGAATACGTCTCGACATGGTACTTCCCATGATGTTCTTGACAGAATGACTTACCTAGGATTCCTGTATAATAAGAAAGCGGCACATCCGTATTGTGAATTTTAAAGAGAGTCTCAGGAGCCTTGATGACACTGTATTCTTCCCATCCAGTTATTCCCCAAACTAACTCATCTTTCTTGAATTTTGGATGAGCTGAATCCACAACTTTAGCCACACCAAACCCCACAATAGGCTACACAATGTAAAACAAAAAAGGATTCAATTGCCATTCATGTATAAATTATAAAAGGCCATAATACATAAACAAACACTTAAATTTAGCCTCCGCTGATAAGTAAGCACTCCAACTCTGATAGTGCACATCTAGATATCTCAACTAGGTATTAACTGACAACTAAACACTCCAACTTGTCCTCAGTGTGTTTCGTGGACACCGACGCTACGTGGCACATAAATTTTGAAGGTGTCTAGATGATCATTTTGTAAGTTGGAGTGTTCAGCTACACAACTGAGACGAGTTGAGGTGTCTAGATGAGTGCACATCTAGACATCTTACTAGCAACTATACACTCCAACGCATCTACACTGTGTTTCGTAGACACCTAACACTGATGTGACACATAAATTTTAGAGATGTTTAAAGGTGCACATAGACTATTTCTGTTTAAAAATCCAACTCTTTTTTACCCCTTTCCTAGAAGCTCCATCTTTTTGTTCCCTTTGTACTCAATCAAAACCACACCTTACGATTGAAGATAGAGGGTGCGGTACCATGTAAAACCTTCTCCAGAATTCAGAACCCATAAACTCAAAATTCTAACTCGGCCTCTATTCATCATAACCAGGGACAGAGCTAGAGTTGTAGCAATAAATTCAGCACAATCTAGTAGCTTTGGTTCAAAACACTTAAATTTGGCCTCAACTGACAAGCAAACACTCCAACTCCGACCGTGCACATCCAAACATCTCAACTTGTTCTCACACTCCGACTCGTCCACATTATGTTTCGTGGACACCTAACACTCGACATGACACATACATTTTGGAGATGTTTAGAGGTACACAGACTATTTGTATTTAAAAATCCAATTTTATTACCCCATTCCTAGAAACTCCAATCAAACCCACAATCTCAAAATCCGACATAGAGAGTGCTTACCATCTAAAACATTCTCTAGAATCCAGAACCCATAAACTCAACATTCTAGCTCCGTCTCAAAACTAGAGATCTAGTCAATCAAGTATCTTTTCTAGAATTCAGAACTCATAAACTCGAAATTTCAAATATAAAATACCATACTATAAAAATAAAAAGATTGGACTTACAGAGCCAGGAGTAAAGGAGTCGGTATAACTGCCTTCAGTTTTCTTCATACGAGGTCTCATATATGGATCACAAGATAAGTAAAGATTTTTAACCAAAACAGTATTTGAATCTTCTGGAACTTTCAATTTCATACTACTGATTTTTAATTCCATATCTGATTCTTTTGGAAATCCATTTACATAATCTTTTAGTAAGATCTGTTTGTTACTAATTTCTTCTCCCATTTTTTCACTCTAATTTTTTTTTTCTCACACACACTGTCTATGTATCCATATAAATATTATATAATGAAGAAGTATGAAAAAAAACGTGAAAAAATGGGCGGATATTCAATGTATGTAATTGAATTATTGTTGGTGTCAATAAGATAAGGTGCTTTAATTATGGGTCTTGTTCATGATGGGGATATTGGGTTAGTGGGCTTTTTTTATTTTATTTTATATTTTTATTTTATTGCCCATCGAATGTTTGATACCCATATTGAATTCTGCTTAAATATGAATTTGCGATGGGAAATCTCACGAGTTGAGTAAAGTGTTTTCTAATAAAAGCAACTTTGTATTCAAGAAATTCAAATCTGAAATTTCTGATTAAGAATTAAGAACTATTTACTATTCCACCATATCTCTGGTGGAATAGTAAATAAGATGAGGTGCTTTAATTATGGGTCTTGTTCATGATGGGGATATTGGCTTAGTGGGGTTTTTTTTATTATTTTATTATTTATCTGGTTCTCCGATACTCATATTGAATTCGCTTAAATTTAAATTTACGGTGAGAAATTCTACATCAGAATAAAGTAAAGTGTTTTCTTAAAAAAGGCAATTATGTTGTACTCGAGGAATTTGAACATGAAATCTCTAATTAAAAATTAAAGAGATTATTATTACACCACGATCTTTATAGGTGATGGAGATATTGGCTTAGTGGATGTAAACTTTTTGACTTTTTCTCCAAAATCAACTTTTGTGATAGTAAATACAATAAAATATCTCAATGTCTTTTATTTGCTTTTTGTAAAGTAGAAATTAAAATTTGTGGATTCTGTTACTTTATGGAATCATTTTTAAGTAGCATATATATTCATATTTATTCCCAACCATTTATAGTTAAATTATGTGCAAGTCATACATCAATCATCATTTATCACGTGTCATATTAAATTTTTTATTCGTTTTTTATTCTTTTTTTTCTCCCTATCTTCTTCACCTCAACTTCTACAAAAGCATCTCCAATGTAACAATCATTAATTAATATAACAACTTAGTATATAAATAATATATTATTACAAAAGAATACAAAATACATCATTATAATTAGATTATTCATCTTCATTATGTATAATATAATTACCAACTATATTTTCATGTATAAAAGTATATTTTGTTATTATTTATAAGCATCTACTAAGTTCTTCAAAACCAGAAGCTCTTCCTCCAGCATTAACACATGAAGCTTCAGCTCTACCATTTTTATAACTAAGATTCACACCTTCAAGTGTTATTCCACTACATGGATTTGTTTTGCTACAATCTAATTTCACTGCGATTTCTGTAGCTGATGTTCCATGTATGTCTTCATATGTTACATCACTTATCTTTACACCTGAGCCCTGAAGAAAAAAAATCATATAAGAGAAAACGCGATTGATATTATTCATCTTATTATATCATAATTGTGATAATCAATACCTGATTAGGACAAATTTCATGATTAGGACAATAATTTTGATCTATGATTATTGGATTTTGAACATTAGTCATAACAATATGTTGAAATAAAACATTTCTAACAAAACCATTGCTAGGTCTTGCCCATGTTTTTACTCTCACACCATTCTCAGTATTCGTGAAGGTAACCATCTTAACTGTCACATTTTGTACTCCTTGCTCTTGAGATTCCCAACCTAAGCTTCCAATGCTACACAAATATCGAGATTTTGAACATGCATTTTTGTAAGAACGATTAATCAAACTAAATTCTCTAAAAAGATAGGAATTAATCATTGATATGTTGTGTTTCAAACCTAATTCCATGGCCAGGGCCACAAGCAATGCCTTCAATCCATAAGTTTGAATTTCCAGGGCCAATAGATATACAATCATCTCCAGTACCAATATTCGAGTTCATAATACTCACTCCTGAAGATGATTGTACATGAATTCCATCTGTATTAGGGCTATTTCCTGGAGATAACACCTTCACTCCTTGAATCATCGCGTTATGGCAACCATCTACTAGAATATGGAACATTTGGCTATTTTGTATAGTTACTCCGTTGATTACAATGTTGTTTGAGTTGTAAAAAGCCAGTGCCTGAAACCAAAATTTAACGTAAAATATAAAAACATTGTTCAACCAAACATTTAAAAAAATGGAAAACTTAGCGTACCGTAGTTCCTTTAGGACAATTCTTGTTAGAGTTTTTGCAAGCCCAAAGACTAGCACCTTGACCATCAAAAATTCCACCATAGATAGAAACTCCATTGACTTTTTCAAACTTTATCCAACTTCCTTCATTGCCAATCACATTATAATCATAAGGAGCTAAGAGAGTTCCATCGATACGTATAGTAATAGCGTTACTTTTGCATGTTTGGCCATTGAAATATATGTTACGAATCAAGTAATTTCCACGTGGCACATAAATAGTGGACGCGCTCGTAGAACCACATGCTGATCCCCATGCACTCAAAAATGCTTTTGTTGAATCTATTTTGCCATTGGATTTGGCTCCAAAATTTTGGACATTGTAAATGGTGTTTGTTGCTAATGATAAGTTGAAGAAAAAGATGAAGAAAAGTGAGAATATTGCTAAGAGACTCATTTTGCTAAGGGAAAATTGGAATATTAATTGATGAGGAATTGGAGAAGGTTTTGAGTGATATTTATAGAGTTTGGGGTATACTCTCATTGGTAAATAAAAATAAATATTATTTTAATAGTTGCTTTTTGGATTAGAATGAAAGTTAGGTTATTTTTTCAATTTGGTCATGTTGGGATTTGGGAAAATAAGACTTTAAATCATAATCCAACACATGCAATCACATGGCCCAAAATCAAGAAAATTGTTGGCACCTTATTTTAAGGAGAAAACTAAGGGGATAAAAAGTTTCTTATACATTTGAATATTAATTAAATGACTTTAAATGTTAGCAATGTAGTTGTGTTTTGTTACATACAAACATTTAAAATATAGAAAAACAATGCCCATGCCCCTTTGCAACCTTCCTCTTTCCATTTAAAATTAATATTCCTTATTTGTCTAACAGATTCAATTTTGCGTGAATATTTATAATCAATAATATTCATCATCAATAATATTCTATATAAATGTTGTTAAAATATTTTAACGATTTTGAATGCAATAATATTAAGTCAATTACCACTACATAATAAATTAAAAGAATACTTTGATTATATTCACGTAATTGAATGTTTCCTAGTGCATACTCTTTAAAGGTAATAAAGTGAGGCTCTAACATCACATGTGTTGAATTAATTACGATGGAATGTTAGGAACAATTAATTAAAGAGATCCCAACACAAATAACATTAATATATAGCCTGACAGATACATTGTTTATTTTTTTAATTGATATACATAAATTATACATTGATTATACACATATTCAGTTAGATAAACAACTATTTAGATTAATATAATTCTTCTTAATTTTAAAGGGACTAGGTCAAAATTAGGTGGATACTACTGTTACAAGATCTTATGGATTTATCCTAAGTTGAATTTTTTGTTTATGGATAGTAACTAATGTTCATGGATTGTTTTTTGTCTATGGGAAAGTATATATAGGCTAGCTACTAGGTATTTGATAGCTATAATTACGCAAAGCCACACATGCATGGTTAAATTGACATAACTTCTACGTGTAAATATCTACCTCCTTCCTCCGTCTTATTTTAATTGTCACGTTTCTCTTTCAGCGTGCAAGCCTTAAATCATAAATAAGAATTTAGTTTCACTAATTTATATTCACTAGCATAGCGCGTACATATATAGATAAACACACACTATATGATCTTTAGTGGTAATTAATTAATGGCAATAGCTTATTTGCCGTTAAATATGTATTTTTAATAGCAATTAACACTATTTGTAAATGTTTCTAAAGCCTATTATTGTTTATAACAACATTGGATCAAATGACAATTAACTAAAGACGGTAAAGACTTTAACATCTTTACTAATGTATATATTTATTGCTGGTGAAAGTTATTTTTGTTGCAATGATCACGTAAAAAAGATAAATTTGCAAATTATAATTTCTAGTTATATAGTTAATACAATATTATTTATTTTTAAGAATAATTAATATTATGAGTGAAATTGAAAAAAGGTAATTGAAAATGATTGCATCCTCTACCATAAACGTGTTAAAGAATTTGTTATAGTTGTTGAAAAATTAGTAAAGCCAAGCAAAAGTGGACTTTAAGATCTCTATGATGGAAATAATCCTAACTTTGAAATAGTAAAGTTAGCACTACAAATTCACATCATTTTTGTGACTTTTTACATTACATACTTTAATAAAAGCCAACCTAAAACATGGGATCCCAAAAACAAGGATACGTGCATGCATGAAATTAATTGGCATAATATATATATATATATATATATATATATATATATATAAAAAATATCTAAATTGGTCCGATCAGCTGATAAATAATCACTCCAACTTTGAATCATTACTAGAAACGAAGGTATATTTCCATTACAAATCAATGAAAAATTTGACTAGAGGGAGTTGCTCAGATGGTTGACTTTCAAGCTTAAGGTTGTTAGTTCAAGTCACCAAGGGAGCAAAAAGGTGGGAGCTCCTGTTCGGGGGGAGGGAGGAGGATTTAATAAAAGTTTTGTGCTATAAAACATGATTTTTTCACCTCAATTCCCACCAAATCAGCTCACCAGAAAAACACATGATAGAAAATAAATTCTCGCTAAAATATTGGAAATCAGATTCCCATTGAGATACTTGGAATCAGATACCCATCCATTGAAATACTAGGAATAGCACACTACACTGAATATCTTTCTTTGTTGATTCAATAACTATATCTGTGGGAATGAATATTTTTCAGCAGAAAATTCAATGGAAATATATTGTAACTTTTTTAGTAGTGAGTATGCATTATGTCAGTTGAACATTCTTAACTTTCTAAATGACTATCTAGACATCTTTAAAATTTATGTCACACAGAATACACATGTTAGAGTGTGTAGTTATCCATTGAGGCCAAATTAAAATATATGAATGTGCTATTAATGTATTTACTTGTCTGCTGAAGTTAAATTTAAGT